AATGGGAAACTAGAAAATAATCCAAAATATGGAAAGAACTATTGAATACTCCTGATGGTCCATCTTTATTTATAGGAGCAAAAGAACTAGAAGCAATGTAATATTTTCAAAATTAGGAAAATGGTTAGGTAGATTTTGGTAGATCCCTGGAGGGCACTGTGTAGGTGTTTTATTAAACACATTTGAAGAATTACACTGATCACATTTATTCATTACAACAATTCTAGGAGACAGGCATTTTCCTCATTTTACAGATGAGGACTTTGAGGTTTAGGGAGATTAAGCAGCAAAGTTAGTAAGTGGAAAAAAAGAAGTTAATAAGGGGAAAAGCCAGGATTCTAACCCGAGTCAGTCTAATTCTAAAATGCAAGTTCAACTATGTAAAAATACAGCCATTAGAAACAAACCCTACCCTTGTAAACCAAACACTGGTTCTTAAAGTTTGGAAATTGGAATTTCCCCCTTATATCCCTTTCTTTCATCTTTCTACTTTAATACTTACATAATGAAAATATGACATCATAAAATAAAAAGTGATTGTATATTTAAGCAACTGTGAAAGTTTCATGTGAGTCAACAGAGTAGCAAGGAGGGTAGAAAATGGAAAAAGCTGCGCAGTGGAAAGGTCTCATGTACTTCTCGCTAAGGCCGGCCGAATGATGCAAGGCAGAAATGTCAGGTTTAGTGAATGTTTCAGTGGGGTCGTGGAGCAAAATCATCAGATCAGTGTTTTAATAAGATAGTTAACATTAATAATCATTATTCTGATCCCTGACTTTTAAAAAGCTAATAGGATATTGTCCTTTGAAAATGGCAAACAGTTAATCAAAAGCATTAGGCACCTAAAGTTAACTGTACAAGGGCCTCATAACTTTCCTTTCATAAAGTGAGCATTCAGTCTGGAAGACATTGTAAAGGGTGAGAGAGGGAACGAAAAGGTCAATATTGTGAATTGTAATTAGCTGATTTGATTTCTGTGCCAAATTCCAGGCTGTACTAAATCCACAGTCCTCGCTGGCAACTCCTCATCTCTGACACATTACCCTTCTTTCAACACTCTGGCGCTTCAGAGTCCTTTAAGACTTTTGCATTAACAATAGCTTTCTAGGTTTGGATTGGTTTTGTTAATGTGTGAGGGTTAGGCTCATCAGCAACGTCTATGTAATATGGTTGGAAAGTGTGCTGTAATCCTTTTTCAATGCTGAAGTTGTCACCCAAGTGGGAGTAATTTAAGAACTAAAGAAGTAATTTCACTGGCAAAGTTTTAAAGTTTTTTTTTTAATTGCACTTAAAAAAAACCCTGAAATACCAGAGAATACTGGAGGCATTGTACACGAGGTTGGAAAACAGCCTCTCAAAGATTAGCTACAGATCTTAGCCAGGGTCGTCCAAAAGACTTTAGCTATTCATTTACAAGTTTTTCTATAATTCATATGTGCTTTGGCTTTCTCTTTTTTTCATGAGGTTGTGGAAGTAGCTGTTAGAGAATTAAATATGCCATGCCACTTCCTTTTGCTTCAGTTCAATAGCACTGAAGTGCTATTGAGTGCCTATCATGTGCCAGGGTAGCTCAGTGGTAAAGAGCCCGCCTGCCAATGCAGGAGATGTGGGTTCGATCCTTGGGTCTGGAAAATCCCCTGGAGGAGGAAATGGCAACCCATTCCAGGATTCTTGCCTGAAGAATCCCATGGACAGAGAAGCCTGGAAATGGAAAGCTACAGTCCATGGACTCACAAAAGAGTTGGCTACAACTTAGTGACTAAACAACAATTATGTACCAGACACTGCCTTAAATGGTATGGGGTTCAAAGATATATAAGGCATTCACTGTCTGGTGGTGGAGTGAAGCCACATGTACAATAAATAATACCAGGTTGCATTCATAAAGTGCTATTTGGGAGGTACAGATACAGGCAGCAGTGCTGGAAGAGGGAAAGGGAGAATTATAATGACCATCTGTGGTGGCCAAGAAGGCTTTATTAAGGAAGTGACATTTGAACTTGGCTTGAAAGGATGGAGTGCTTTCAATAGACGGAAATGAAAACAACTCACATTAGGTGCTCAATTAATGTTTGCTGAAGGGATTAATAAAAGGCACAGATGTGAGATGTGCTTGAGAAATAGCAAGTCCACAAAGCTGTATCTAACCACAGATTCCCCTTATGTGAACAATTCTAATTCAGGTAATCCATGACATACATGACAGATGTATTTTTCAAAATTGACCCTAAAACGTGTATGTCAAAAGCAGTTTTCCCATACATTTCATAATGGTAATGGAAGAAATTAGGGTGGTTTGGTCAAACTGAAATGACATTATCGTCTAGGTTAGTAGTACTCAAATAGTTAATGAACCCTGGTAGTCCATGAAACCCAAGGATCCACACAGTCAAAATGACTTGCACAACAATACTAAATATTATTTGCCTTTTTCACTGTGCTGATATTTGCACTGATGGTACAGAAGCAGTAGTGAGTACAACTGTCAGTGCCACAGCATGAATCAAGGCAGTGACACCAAATTATGCTCGTAATCATTACACTTGCAAGAAAATAAAAGGCACTCCACTTGAGAATATCATTGCTAAAGCAGTAAAAACGATTAAAATATTAAACCTTAACAATTGAGTGTACTTTAAAAAATATTCTGTGTTATGACATTTGACTTAGGTGTAAGGTACTTATGCTACGAACTGTGTTGATATGTGTCTCAAGGAAAAGCATCTGTGAGATTCTTTAAGCCATGAGCTAAATTAGCCTTTTTTAATGACTGACAAACTATGGTTATGCAGGCTTGAGTATTTGTTAGACATTTTGTTTGAAAGGAACAAAGAGAGCCTGACAGTTAAAGGAAATACTGACTGTGCTGTGGCCAAGGATAAAATTCAAACTTTAAAGAGTAAATTAAAATATTGGAAAACTTGTATCTATCACCATGACCTTGAGAGCTTCCCAATGCTTCATTTTTAAATGAGATTGGAGGTGATGTTAATGAATGTGATTTTTAAAATATCATATAATGAGAGGTGTCAACATTTGGGAGACCTGCAGAGCTCAGTGAACCAATATTTTCCAGATGATCTGTGCATGAGGAGACAAAATGGGTAAAAGGCCCATTCAAAATTCAAAACATACCAATGGATTTTAATGTAACATAACATGAAAAGTTTACTTATATGGTTTCATATTCAACATTGCAAGTAACCTTTCTCACTTGTTGAGTTTTTATGTAGTTTCAATGAAGAATATCCAGAATTCTCTTAAAAGGCTACTCTTAATAAAATACTTCTGTCTTTTCCCATTACATACCTGTGAGAGGCTGGATTTTCTGCAAATGTTCCAGCCGAAACAACATATAACAACAGATTGAAGGGAGAAGTAATATGATAATCCAGGTATCATATGAAGCCTGATATTAAAGATATTTGCAAAAATGTAAAACTATGCCAGCCTTCCTTCTAATGGTTTTATGTCAGGGGAAAATATATTTCTTTTTCATTAAAAATGCTATTTATGTTAACATGTTATGGGTTTTTTATTTGTTATGTTTAAATTAGCTTTGAAATATTTCTTTTAATTTCTCAGTTGTAATTTCTGAGATGGTAATGTTGATAGATACAACTGTATAATCAAAAGTTCCCTGATATTCCCAATAAGAGTATAAAGGGGTCCTGAAATCTAAATGTTAGAGAACTAGCTTATCCCAGCTTTTGTGTCTATATTATACTTTTAGATGTGTAGGATGGGGGAAAGGGTAGAGAAGGAAATGTGTTTAGAGTTTGATGGTGGAGATGATGCTGGAGTAGAAGATAATAGAGAGGTTGGCTTCACTGATACCATTAGAGGCTGTTGGCCAGGAAAGAACCAGCTTTTTGTTGTGGATTTTTCTTTCTTTGCTTAGAAAGAGAAACAAACCTGCAGAGTCACATTTCTCTATGGTATATAGCTTGTTCCAAGTAGATCATGGTGTAACAGCTAAATCACAGGTGGAGAGCAGAAAAGTATATTTTGGAGGGACAGTGAACACAAGACAGTGAAAGCCACAGAAACCAAAATGTGCCTGTGCGTTTCTTTTCTTGGATACCTGTTCTGCAATTCCAAAAGTCTCACTTTCTGCATATCCACATCTTTTATTGTCCATTATTTAAAATAGGAGGTGAACTGATATGTAGGACTAAACATGGATGGTGGGGCAGAAGCTACAGTAGGAATAGAGGGTATTGGAATACAGCCTTGGAGAGAGATGGTGAGGAAAAATAAAATTGCCCTCAGAAGACCACACTCATGCTGTGAGCTGGGCTTCTGAGTCTGTGGTGAGACTTTTGGGAGGTGGAAGTCACCCTAAAATTAAAAAGGCATTGACTACGTGACTGAAAGGCCAGATACTGCAGAGCATGTATATGATCTACAATAAAGCAGAATGAATTTCAAAGCATCTTATTGAAACTGTAGAAGATGGAGATATTTTTTAAGTTTTTCAAGTGGTCAGGGCATAGTATGAAACAATCAATTATAAGTATTCATCCAAACGTATATAAAATGTCACTGCCATTTTCTTCATGTGGTGGGATGCATTTGCTGCTTTAATTAAGTGAATGTAAATATAGATATAGTGGGCTTTCATAGGCATCTTTTCTGAACTTGGTGTTCTCTCAGCCTATAAATATGCTTTGCCTATCATGGCTTAAGTTCCTCATCAGTGACTTCTCCCATGGAGGCTTAAGACATGGGAAAGTTCTGATATAATATTCATTCTGGCTACTAATGGTGGAAGTAGAGTGGAAGAGTGGAGAATCCTGTCAAATGCTATGGAAAGGTCCAGAAGTATGCAGCGCTAAAGAGTACAAGCAATGTATGTCTATAAAAGTTTGAAAATGATTTTTAAAACTTTCTGTGTAGCTCTTTTTCACATTTTAAAATTCTTCCCGTTAACAACACACTGTCTTAGACCTACCTGAGAAATATAAAAAGTTGCTGCAATCCTGGTTGTTTTCTTTCAGCTCCTGAGGACCATGTCTGTACCCAAAGGCAGAGTTCTGGATAAAAACCTTGATGAGGAAGGGCTTGAAAGTGGAGACTGTGGCGATGATGAAGATGAGTGCATCGGAGGCTCTGGTGATGGAATGATGAAAGTGAAGAACCAGCTCCGCTTCCTTGCAGGTAAGTGATTAGTGCTGGTTCAAATTTGAGCTAAAATGGTGATGCTTGGGAATTAAATACCAATTGAATCTGCTCTTTATAACTTCACTAAAATCTCTGTAATACACAATGGCAACAAGGAAAGGTGACACTTTAGAAAAATGAAGTTTTCAGGTAGCTTTTTTAAAAAATCTCTGGACCTAAAAGGGTAACTTCCTGTTTTTCATTGTCTGAAAATGAACTGACTTGAATCAGTTGGCTTTGTTTCCTACTGGAAATTTCCTTGGTTCTTCTCAGTTATAAAAAGAGATGCAAAAAGAAATGCAATCTTGAGAGCCTAGTGAAAAACCAATGATGGGGTAACTTTCAAAGAAAAGACATTAGGTGACCTTCTCCTCTTAGAATGTCATATTTGGTTTTTTCCACTAGTAGTTTAACACTGGTAGGCTATGCTACATAACTGTACAGCTACATGAAAACAAGTAGAAGAAAAATAGCTGATGCTGCCAAGACGGCAAAACAACCATAACAAAAAATATTTCTTCTCAAGCCACATTTGTATCGATTAGCCCGATGTACAAAATGCTTTCATATGGATAGGCATTCTTGTTTCCATTTATACAGAGAGATAAAGTACTGTATAAATACAAGAAAATTGGGGCTCAGAGAAGAAATGAGATTCATCTAAATGAAAGAGCTAGAAATCCAACTTGAGTCTTAAGACTTCTGGTGTCCGTTCTTCCTTCTGCAACGCACAGCCTTCTTGAAATCCTATTGCCCGTGACCTCTGAGACCCTACAAGCTCCTCTTTCTGTTTCAGCCTCTTTCCTTCCCTGTTTCTTTCTAATGCTGTCCTGAAACTGAGTCTCTTCTTAAGCTTCTATGTTTTCTCACTTCTCCAGAGAAAATATGTATCTTATTTACTTTGGCTATTTCATTTTTTTTTTTAATGATTTCTGTAAGTTCTTTTTTTTTAATTCTGGCAAAAAAATCTAACATGAAATCTACCCTCTTAACAAACTTTTTCAAATTATTTTTTTTTGACTGTACCAAGTCTTTAATTGCAGCACACAAGAATTTTGATCTTCATTGTGGTGTGTAGGATCTTTAGTTGCAGCATGTGAACCCTTGGTTGTGGGATATAGGATCTAGTTCCCTGGGCACAGAGTCTTAGCCACTGTACCACCAGGGAAGTCCCTCATAACAAGCATTTCAGGGTACAGTATTGTTATTAATAATAATATGCAGATGTACGGCAGATCTCTAGACTTCTTCATTTGTATGACTGAAAATCTGTCCCCATTAAACACTAACTTCCCTTTCCCCCTCCCTCAGTCCCTGGCACCACCATTTGACTTTCTGCATCTAGTTTGGCTACTTAGCTCCCTCATAGAAGTGGAGTCACGTAGCCTTCTATGACTGGCTTATTTCACTCAGCATGATGTCCTCAAGTTTCATCCACATTGTAGTGTATGACTACAGAATTTCCCTCTTTTTAAGGCTAAATAATGTTCCACTGTATGCCTGTCCTATGATTACTTTATTCCTTTAGCCATCAGTGGACATTTAGCTTGTTTCTACCTCTTGGCTGTTGTGGTTAATGCTGCAGTGAACATTCTTTAAGTATTATACCACTGTGTGGATAACTCATAAAATCATTACCTCCAGTCTTCACTGGTCTCCTGAGCTACCTTGCCAGATCTCCAGCTGCTTACTAGCTTTCTTCTTCCTGACTTTCTCACCATTACCCCTAACTCTATGTATCATAAATCAAACTTAACAATAGACCATCTCAAACTGGTTCCTCCCTTAATATCATTATTTTTCTAATGCCACTACCATTATCCCAGTCACTGAGGCTTAAAACTGAAGTCATCTTTGACTCGTCTCCCTTGCCTTTCATATACGGTTGGGCACCAAATCTCTGTAGATGATTTATCATTTTTTTCTGCTTCTCTCACTGTTTCCTTTCTATCCTCCTTTCCTCACATCCCCTACCTGTGCATATGCTAAGATCACATCGTAAGTGGTCTCCAGGCTTCTAGGCTAAGCCAGGAGTATTGAGAGCCTTAGGCTAACAGATTAGAGAACAAAGAATCAGAGACCCAGGCAGAAGATTCTACCAAATTCACCTTGTATAGCTGCCAGGTTAACCTTTCTAAAGCATCTCCTACTTCTTCCTAGCTCAGCTACCTTCATCCTGTCCCTGTTGCCTGGAAGATTATGCTCAGGCTCCTTAGCAGAGTTCTGAGGGCTTTCTGGTCTTGCCTAAAGCATCCTTCCAGTGTCATTTCCCACCACTAGCCACATAGCAACCCTACACTTCGGAAAGAACAAACCATACTCATCCCCCAGGAGCATGAATTGACATACTGTTCTTATTTCTGTCTTCAAATGTTCCCCACCTTTATTTCTATGTACATACCCTTTTATTTTCTATTGAATTACACCCACCCATCTCTAAAAGTGAATTTCAAGTATTATGCAGTGAAAATATTTTTAGGGGTCGAGTAAACTTGTATTTGAATTCTGGCTCTATTCCTTATGAGCTAGCAGGACCTGGGTCAGTTCTTAGCCTCCTAGCTAAATCTGCATTCTCTCATCCATCAAAAGGGGATGCATTTGATCCATCCATCATTAAGCAACTAGTTCAGGATCAAATCAAGGGAAGAAGTTTGCGAGGCATCTGTCCCAGTATCTGCAACACACTAGGTGCTCCATAATTGTTCATTTCCTTCAATGAAATCTTTCACAACCGTCTCATTGTATACTTATCTCTGCCCTCTGAATGACTAAAACAAATTCTGCCAATACTTTCAAGAAATAGTTTGCACTGGCTCCCAAGTTCCATTCCTAAGGCATAACATGGTCACTCAGAGCCTGGCATCCTACAGAAAGAATGTTGAGTAAACATAATAAGTAAAACTCATAGAAGGTTTTGTTTATTGGACACTTACCATGCTGCAAGTGCTGTGCCAGAAATTCACACATGTTGCCTCATGTCATTTTCACAACACCACTATTATTATTCCCACTTTACAGATGAGAAAACTGATGCTGGAAGAGGTAGAGTAATTTGCTTAAGGTCATGCAGTGGCTAAGGTCAGAGTCAGGATTCAGAGTCAGGCTGTCAGCTTTCAGAGGCCATTTATTGGACAAATCTGCTTTGCATTTTGCTCCCCCTGAAAAGCTTTTGGTCAGCTAAAGGTTGCTTAGATGACTCAGCAGACTAGTAACTGGTCCCCATGTTGATCCTTAGTACACACCACTGTTCGTGTTTCTTCAAAAGTCCCTGTTTATCCCTCCTCTTGCTCTCCTGCCTATAAGCCACGTCCCTATCCATTTCAAAGTGCAATTCCACGATTCCATGGTGACTTAACTTTTTTAGAGTGTTTGGTGTGGGACCTTGTCAAGGGCCTTTTAAAAATATAAATAGATTACATCTACTGGTTTCCCTTTGTCCAAATGCACATTTATCCTCTCAAAGAATTCTAGTCAATTAGTTAGGCATGATTAACCCTAAGTGCTTTGTCAACTGTAAAATTCTACACAAATGGTGGTTAATTTAATTTACAGGAAAAATGATGCTTTACTCCCAATAGGGTACACTTGCCTAACATATTCAGTGATCCTACCTGCCTGGAGTTCCTTGGGTCCCCTTTGAAATGCTTCTCATGAAGAGGAGACTCATTGGCAGTCTGCCAGGCTCGTGGCACAATAGCTATTTGGAACAACAAGCTATACACTTTGGTCAGCTGTTACACAATTTTACCCAAAATCTGGGTAGATGCCATCTGATCCTGGTGATTCATCAACATCCACTTAGTCAACTAGACTTGGAACACTGTGTGCGTTTACCTCTATCTCATTTAGAGCTTCCAAATTCCTTCCTCCACAAGACAACTTGAAAATAAAAAACAAGGCTCAGAGTATGTTCAGACTCTCTTCTGTCTCCCTTTTGTCCCCTAACAGTTCTTTTGCACTCTAGCCAGCAAGCAGTCCTACTGGCTGCTTTCCCTGGCTCACTTATTCCCATCTTTTGATGCACTGGAGGAAGTGCAGGACACTGAGCTTCTATTCTTGGCTTTGCTTCTAACTCCCATGTGTCCCTGGGCAAGCCCCTTCCTCTTTTGAGAAGTCAGTTTCTCCATTTGTAAAATGAAGAGAATGCCCAGACATCTCTCGCTGGCCATGCTAGTGCCAACAGTCTGTGATGCTGTTCGTATATTTGGCTTTAGTCCCTGGCAACATGCTTACTAGAGTCTTTCAGGGACACCTTCTTCTGACCATGCATATTCCTTGTGTTCTATTCTTCTCCTGAGCTATTTACACATTAAAGCAGATCTTGTTTTCTCTACACTAGCTCCTTTGGCTTTTCCAGTCAGACAAGCCAGGCTTCTTACCAAGGGCTGCCCACACCTGGCCCCTCAGCACACTTGTAGGCCAGGATGCTCATAAGAAGTTCTGAGCAGTATCCAGGCCTTCTGTGGTATATTCACTTTTAAAAGTCTTCATCCTAAAGTTTCCCAAGTGTTCTCTTTTTTTCTATAATTCTTCTTTCTGAATTTGGAGTCTGACCCTTCTTTCCGCTTGTTGAATTTAATTGCTGCTGAGATGACCACTAAACAGTGTCTTCTTACCCACAGTTGCAGCTGACTTATTCCTTTCACTTCTCAAAACAAGGTTAATATGTTTTCCTTTTGGAGGGTTACCTCCTTTCTCAGCCTGTTTCATAGTGTTGTGGCTGTTAAATAAAATAATCGATGCAAAGCACTTGGCACAGGGTCTGGACCTAGTAAACACTCCAAAAATGTTACCTACTGTTCAAGCACCTGGTGTGTTGCTGTCGCTACTGACCTATGGGAACTCCAAGAGCCTGCAAATGTAGATCAGAATTAATCGCCTTATTTTTTGGTTTATTTAAGACCCATAAAAGGTAACTAAAACCAGGTAACTGACATTCTGCAATCTCCCCTTACCTCATGCTGCTCCAAGTGGGGTCCATGAAGTCGTAGCATCTG